AAATGGTCGGGAAATATAAAACGCAACAAAGAGAAACATTCTTTAATGACTGCTAAACTTTTATAATGGGCAGAAATAAAAAACTCGAGTATAGGTTTTTCAATTTCTGCGCTTCTTTCTCAAATAAGTATATCTTCAATTTCTTTTTGTAGCAAGCAGCCCTATGTACATATACCTATTATTAACCCTGCTTGATAAGCAGTTAACGTTGTTGTATATTTCTTAAGTTAAGTCATCCTTTATGTCCATCTTACTCCTTTAAGAAACACCATGTAAACCCATCTCTAAGTATGTACGTCTCTCTCTTGCACATACGAGATTGTGAGCATTAACAGACATGATGAAATAAAGATCACTTTTGCCACGACCACTGAAGAGAAAAGACCCTGATTGTATCACTACATTTTTGTTTTCAAGCAAATTGATATTCGAATTTTACTTAACATTATTTTTATTTTGTAAATCTCAACTTGAATATATTATTATTCTCATATTTTGTCTTATTTCGAAAACAAAGTCTTATTATTCATCAAGGAAGTTATTATTATTCATTATTATTCATGGAAGCACTCAGGCTTGACCAATTAATTGTTTAAATCTTCTTGGTTTACTTTGAAATATTATTGAGATTGTGGTTCGTATGTTGGTGGGAAGCATTTAAAACATATTAATTAGGAAATTAAAATGATATTTGCTTATGCGCAAGAAGCTAAGATGAATTAGCAAACTTGAACCGTGCATTATTAATGGAGGCGGCATTAATAAAGATACATCGAAAGGCGCCACCCTTCAGGGATTATTTTGCGTAAGGCGTATGCTAAATGTCTATTTTTGGGTTGAGCTCAGGCTGAGATGTGTTTAACTCGGAAGCCCACCCCATCACTCCCCATCACTGGAAGGGAGGTCCTCCTGCCAGAAGAACAAGTGTACGTGTTCCGGCCAAAAGCTGAAGGCCCAGAGCCCAGACATCGCAAAGCCACGACTAGGCAATTGAGAAATTAAATTCTAGTTACGCCCATGGAATTTAAAAATAGCAAACAATCGACGGGGCGGATGGGTTCGTTTTCGAGGTGGGATGGGATGGGAGTGAAGGACGCTTGGATGCGGTTCTTGAACGTGTTCAAATTGCCGAAACGCGTCGAAATTATGTTAATGTTGTATGTACGTGTCCCAAAGGCGGCCAACAAATTGAATATGTATTTAAGCCCTGCGTCGAGTGGGAGTGGGCGAGTGGGCGGTTATCGGGAACACGTCATTGTTTAATCTATAATTTGGCATCTATATCTTTATTGTACGCCAGTTCGCCAGGAGGTGGAAAAAGCGTTTTCCGAGTTTTCACAGAGTGGCATCTCATTGTTTGCCTTTGTCATTCCTGCAATTTTTATAACAACATCCCCGCTGATGTTTGATGTATTTATGTATGTACAAGGGAGGGGGAGGGGGAGGGGGAAAGGGGGCTCGACTGCCTAACAATTCGTGTTCATCTCCTCTGTCACTTTTAATGAGTTTTTTGCTGGAATTTTCGTACCCCCCGCATTCCGGCTGGAACTTGTTGGCAACATTGTCAGCGAAATTGTCACCGCTTCTGATAATCAGGCGAACGCCCTTCGAAGTGGGCGAGGGCGAGGGCGTGGCCATGACGCATTGTCATGATGATTATAATTTCCATTAGGGCAATTTTGTAGCGCCGTCGATGGAGTGAGTTGAGCAAGTCATATTGAACTAATTTGCATTACAAGGCGAGCGACAGAAGGCGCGGAAAGTCAAGTTCGTCGTGAAAGCAGAAGAAGGGCCATGATTTTGTTTTTCACTCGAAGCCTGAATAGCATAAGTCATAACATCACTCAGAGGCCGAAAGCCACAAGTCCATTTATCAAACTCACTGGCTTAATACGAAAACACTTCTTGTTGTTGCTTTTATAAAATCGCTAGGATTATAGTCAAATCTTATTCATTATTTACTTAAAAAAGATAAAATATTTCTGTCGCAAACAATGTCAACTTAGGAAGTGCAACAATGTGTTTGAATTTTCATCCGGCTGATTGACTAGCAACCCACAATATATTAATAGATTTTATATACATGAAATATATATTGTAACAGTAACAAGACTTTCGATTTATTTCTTTAATCACTTTATTCAAAATATGCGACTGCTCCTTTTAAGTGTCTGACGTTGAATGCTTTTTTATCTCTTCCTTCTTCTCCTCCTTCTTCGCCGCGTGAGCGAGAAGCAATACATGATCATAAACCTAAACCTATTCTATTCTATTTTATTCTATGAGAGCGAGAGAGATGGCTGTACATATCTGGTCTTTAACAGTAATTCTTATTTTATGGTACAGTGGGTATTGTAGGTAAACATCCTACTACAATATTTATTGAAATTTATTGACGCACTTCGGCCTGCCCCTTCTATTGTTGATAAAGCAAACGACAAACTTTAAGACTCATTCGAAAAGGCGGTTGCATAAATCAAAAGCAGAGCAAGACGATTTCCTGAACCTCAAGACGTCACTCATACGCCGTGTGGCCACAAAACTCCAGCTGGGTGCAAACGAGCGTGTATGCAAATGATTTAGCTGTCCGAAAAGTTTTGAGGCTTCAACAGAACAACAACCGAAGAATTTGGCAGGCGGAGAAGCTAGAAAACTATGAAATATGCGAAGCATGTGCGGACAATTTCCCCATAACCTTTGACATGCCATAAAAAGGGTTAGGTGGGCGTGGCCAAGGTGGGTAAAAGTTTTGGCGCGACTTATGTTTCAATTGCCATGGAGGAAATGTGATAAACGGGACATTGACGGAGGATGAAGCCACACACAAATTAAAAACAGGATGTAATAATTCGCGAAAAGGTTTGGGTTTAGATTGTGCAACCAAAACTGCGAAGTCACTTTAATGCCTCATCATTCCGAACTTCGTGGGGAAATTTCCATCATCCAAACTTGGGAACTAAGGAAAAGGGGTGGCGTAAAGTGGGAAGGATTGGTTAGTTATAACATTTTGCCTTTATTGCTGTTGGCTGCTGCGGCAGTATTTTAATTAAAATTAATGCGCCATAAGCTTTAATTTAATGCCACTTCTTTGGCCGGGACTTTTGCAAGGCAACCATAAAAGAAGCATTATTGCATGCGAGTGGGAGCTCTATGTGTGATGGGTGTGTGTGTGGGAGCTATAAACGCTAGACTCGGATGAAGATATGCCCATATAGTCGGGTCTAATGTGGCTCTGCCGGGCTGTTCCCGGCTCGTCTTCCATCCGCTTGTTATGCTCATTCGCATGGCATAAATAAGGGCTTAAGGCAGGATCTACGCATTTAGTTGCTGGGATTGTCGCTACTCCAAGCCAAAGCAGAGCAGAGCCATCCCGATCCCAGCGGAAGTGAGTTGGACATTACAATTTGTCACGGCGGCCAATTAGTTTTTTATTGCAGTTTATAAGCGGGAAAATATGTAAATATCTTCGGTTAGTTTGAATAACCACAGAAGGTTCTTGGAAAAGCCTGTAACTGGAGATCGTTTAATGGTTATCTGACCCTCAACATATCCATACATATATCTAAAAAAGCTTTTCTGTTATATTTAGTTTTACAACTCCTGTAGGAGTACCCTAAAAACTTTTTTAATATTCATAAATATAGCTTACTCTGCATGAAAGTATTTCGACCTTATATGTAACACTAAAACAACTAAGTATTCCAAACAGAAAACTAACCCATCAGAATGAGCACTAATATATTTTCAATAGCCTTTATGCAAATGACAACTGTGCCTAGTTTGCAAAAGTATTTTCCCATTTCAAATTTGCAATGTGCGCAGTTTTCCCTTCTGCTGCCTGGCAAACATTTTTGGAACTTATCCAGCGGAATCTGGCCAGTCAATTTAATTATGTGTATTCATAATCGGCTTGCCCATAAATCTAATCAACCCAGAAGCATTCAAAATATGCAGATGTGAAATTCTGGGACAAAAGTGGGAGTCAAGGGAAGTGGGCACTAGAAACGATGGGACGAGCAAATAAAAGTTAGAAGCTACGTGGGCGGGTCAAATTCACTTAATTGAATTTGCAATTTGCGGGGCCCAAATGGCAATGGCTTTTCTAGGCCCAGTTGAAGTGACTGGCAGCAGAATGAAGGCTATGTCGTGGTCGATGTGAAGATGAGAGGGCCAGTCAGGTTGCGCAATCAATTTAGTAGATTAATCCGGCTCAGAGCAGAACATCCGTACAACAGGTCGTATGTGCGATGCCTGCGAGTTTTCGATTCGCCAGTTGTGGTGAGCAACTAATTGGAAAATAGGTGCCAAAGTTCATTAAACTGCCAGCGGAAGAATGTGAACTTGATGTGAAAACAGTTTCAGTTTCAACAAAACTGAATTTTTCATCCCGACACTGACAGTGAAAACTAAACGGGATGAGAGAAAGCCTTGATGGGCAGAAATTTCATTCTTGCAGTCAAATAAATGCAACAAAATGTCGGATTCTTTCTTGATTGAATAAATACTCAATGTGGATTCTAATTTCATGTAAGCCAATTTATATACACGTGACAAGATGAATAAAATGGTGTATTGTGTTTTTTTTTTGATAAGTTGCTAATATGTCAAATAAAGAGCTTGCACAAAGAATATAAATATAATCTAAGCAGGATCATTACATGAACCAATCTTGTATTTTCTGAGTTGCTTTTCCATTTGTAGCAAAGATTTTGAAACGGTGAGATCTAAAAACGAGATTTAACATTCAACATTGATAATTATCAATAGAATGAAATGTTATGGGGTACACATATTTTCGATGACACAGTGACATGATTGAAAAGCAACAAAAATCAAAATTAAATTTAAAAAAATAACATAATATAAAACAAAAATATAAAAAATGAATTATTCTGTTCATTCAATGCACCACAATATAGTACCATTTCTGCCTGTTCCTGGACCCTAAAATGGTATCAGGAATCTGGGAAAATTCAATCACATTCACATTGTACTGAGTACTTATCGAAGGCGGCGACAATCGACCGCCGGAAACATTTCGAATCTGCCTGCGTGAAAGTTCGGCAGAGCCGCCCAAAAACGCATGGCAGAGCTGGAAAGTGGGCGTGCCAAGGAGGACTCCAGTCCAGCAAGGCCACATACCAGCCAGGAGCAGGAGCAGGAGCAACTCCAATCGCATCCGCATTCGTCACCTAAGCTCTCGCCACAGCCACATGGCTACCCGCGGGAGAGTCGCCGCCGGGATGCTCGTCCTCCGCCTCTCCCTGAGATCATCGTGGCGGGCAGGTACCGCCTGCTGAACCGGATCGGGAACGGCTCCTTCGGGGAGCTGTACCGCGCCGAGGGGCTCAAGTACGGCGAGAAGGTGGCCGTCAAGCTGGAGACCGCCCGGGTGAGGTATCCGCTGCTGCCGCGCGAGGCGAAGGTCTACGGGATGCTGCGGGGGGCGGAGGGCGTGCCCAGGGTGAGGCACTACGGCACCGAGGGGCTGTACAACGTGATGGTGATGGACCTGCTGGGGCCCACGCTCGAGGAGCTGCTCAGCCTGTGCGGGCGCTCCTTCAGCCTGAAGACGACCCTCCTGCTGGGCGACCAGGTGCTGGCCCGCGTCGAGCAGCTCCACCGGCGGAGCTTCGTCCACCGGGACATCAAGCCGGACAACTTCCTAATGGGCCTCGGCCGGCACCGCGACCGCCTCTTCATGATCGACTTCGGGCTGGCCAAGAAGTTCTTCAGCCGGCGCTCGCAGCAGCACATCGACTACTCCGAGAACCGTGATCTGGTGGGCACCGCCCGGTACGCCAGTGTGCGGGCCCACTACGCGGAGCAGGGGCGCCGCGACGACCTGGAGGCCGTGGGCTACCTGCTGCTCTACCTGCGGCGGGGCCGCCTCCCTGGCAGGGCATCCGGGCGCAGTCGCTGGCGCAGAAGTACGAGCGGATCGCCGAGTGCAAGGCGACCATCCCGCTGCACACCCTCTGCGCCGGCCTGCCCGAGGAGTTCCTCCTGTACCTGAAGTACTGCCGCCGGCTGCACTTCGCCCAGCAGCCGGACTACGCCTACCTGCGCCAGCTCTTCCAGGAGCTCTTCCGCGGCCGCCACTTCCTCCGCGACTTCTTGTACGACTGGGTGCCTTTGCAGCGGGAAACGCGAGATCTCCAGCGGAAGAGGGCGGGTCAAAGGGCAAGGGACGGGGATCACAGGGAGCAGAGGGAGCAGAGGATCAAGGATCGGGAGCAGGTTCGAATCGCGGAGAGAAACCAGAACAAGTTGGACAAGGACAAGGACAAGGGAGGGGAGCTGCTGGAGAACAGGGATTGCGAAAGGAAAAGAGACCGCGGCCATGAGCACAAGTCCTCGAAGAAGGATCGCAGGTGCTGCTCCTGCCACTACCACCGCCACTAGGATCGTCCGGATCGCAGGATGGAGCTGCAGGCTGAGCGGAGGATTGTTAACACGGAGGAGTCGGGGGAATCCCGCCGAGGCAGGCCCTGCCTTTGATATTGCGCTGTTTGTACACACACATGTCCTTCGAGCTGTTAATTAACTGCCGAGAAACTATATTTAGCATGACTTAACCGTTCACCCATCTCGGCTCGGCTCCTTTGTTCGGCAAATCAGCGGCCCGGGTAATTGGCAACTGCTGCCGGGGCACAAAGAGCCAACCGGCAACTTGGCAAACAATGGGGCGAAACTTTGCGGGGCGTCCTGTACGGTGAAATCGATACCCTGGCAACTCGGGGGGGAATTAAAAACTGAGCAAAATTTGCAGAAACAGCTTCTGTAAAAAGATTTTACGAAAGTTAACGAGGGCCAAAAGATCAGGTGTCAGTTCGATTGTGAATTTGTGATATCTAAAAGGTTATGTTAATACCGATTAATAATAATTAATTAAAATTAATACCGATTAGTAGTAATAAGCAACACAGCTCTAATAAGCTCTCAGTTTTTGTTGAGATATGCGAAGAAGCTTTAAAAAAGTAGCTCGTTTCCTAAGTAGGGATTAAGGCATTTCGTTATTGTTAACTTTTTTCAGATCTCTATGTTCTGCTCTCTACAAAATCCATTTTTATAAAATTTTTATTTTATACAAGTTTTGTAGCTTTTCCACACTCTCTGCTAACAAATTTCCTTGTTTGGCTGTGGTTGTGGCGAATGAGAAATTTTTCTAGGCAAGTGTAACAAGAACGCCCAGTCAGCCAGCTCATATGAGCCTTTGGAGCTGGGATATTAATAAAAGGGTTAATTATTGGCCCAGCCAGGACAGGGATACTCGTAATCCCGAGACGACTTGAAGATGTGAGCAGGAGGCAGTGAGGAGGAGAACGGGGACCGGAGAGCTCATAAAAGATTCCCCCGGTGGCTTGGAAGGAAACAGGGTCAACGCAGCCGAGCCAAAGTAGTTTGCTCAGTCGCGCTGCAATAATGCGGACTGGAGCTCACCCACACGGACACATGGTCACATGGATCCCTGTATCCTGGCCCATAAAATAGCACTCCACGAGCACACACAGATGGCGAATTAGCTATTTGCCGGCCCAAAGCAATTTTTGCCCAAAGCCCCGAATCCGAAGGCAATGATGATTTGGGACTGGGCGTGAGGGTGCACAAATCTATAAATAACTCGACCGCCTTGCCCTACACTTAACGAAAATTCAGGAGCTGAAATCAATGGCTTGCAAATCCAAAGAGATAATGGAGTTAAAAGCATTGTTCTTTGAACAAGTTTAAGTAAAAATACAAGTCAGGATAATGAAGAATAAATGATTTTTAATAAACATGAATGATTTTAAATGGATCAACACTGTAATTGTGACTTATTTAATTGATTCTTAACCTTTTTCAATTTATGACGATTAAGGGTATATTTTCACTATTTACTATTTTTGAAGAAACCAAAACTTAAATAACTTATTATTTTGTATTAATTATTCAAGTCACGTTTCGAGCGTTTACTTATCAGCATCAAAGGGATTAACCCCTTACAAATTAATAAAAATCCATCGAGGCGCCTACGTTCATATTTAATTTTTCTTTTTCAGGAAAATCACTTTTCCTTCGACGGACTTTTCCCGTGTACTTCGTTCAGACGATGCCACGCCCATTTAACATCCCAAGTTTTGAGGTCCTCGCTGAGTTTGGGGAGTCTAGGGAGCTGCGTCCAAAATACTCAGGGCAACTTTGCTAAGAACTTGAATGCATGCCTAATGTGGAAAACCTCACTCCGCCAAAAGAGCACACACGCACACACAAACACAAACACACTCGGGACCGCAGAACGCACACTAATACGCGATTCCATACACATACACAGCGCGCTGAAGCGTAAAAATATTTGCGGGCTTTTGGCTTCGGCTTTCGCTGGGCTTTCTCTTTGCAACGCCGCATTTCAAATGAAGTTAATTTTTTCGTTGGACGAAATGGCTACAAATCTGTGTTTTATTTATAAGTGGCAGTGGTCGACTGGGCAGACACATTATGGACGATATGGCGACGAAATCGGAGCGAGTCCACTGATGGCTCCTCGATGAACTCGGTGACATTCAAATTGGGCAGTTAACGAAAATTGTGCAATTTGTGGGTCAATGCCTAGTGAATGAGGATGGAATGGACATGTGAGTGGGTCCGATGGGACCGTTATCCTTATGAGTGCCCTAATGGGGAATAACTCGAGACTCGGACAACGAGGCGTATGAGCAATATTGTCACCGTCCAAGGGAACCTAATGTTGCTATTGTGTGGTGTAGCCACCAATTTGTTTAGGTAGGCAGACGCTTTTATGGGGGATATAACAACAAAAATATGAAACACAGAATAAATATGTTTTCTTAAATCAGCTGAAACATGTTATTAATTGAATTTCTGAAGAAAACGTTTTCTTTGGATGCTCACTTTGATTCAATTAAGATTCCAGTTTAATTTTCGGTTGCCGTGGCTCATTTAATTAGCCGCAAACGATGCCATCTACAATAATTGTAATTTAATCAGAGTTCCAAGCAACTAGCACCGCATTTCTGCGGCGGAGTTTTTGTGCCTTGTGGCCAAAAATAAATTAGAAGACACACTCATTAAAATGTTGCATGTGCGGCGAATATAAATATTGCAGATGTATAATTAAAATAATTGGGCTTGGAAGAAGACTGTTGTCTGTTTCTTACTACTTTGATAATCATTTCGGGGCAACATTTAAAAACTTAAATATAAATGTATTTTTAAAATAAACCGGCTGGGTTCTTTGAGATATGTTACATTTTAGGTACCTTCGAGATACATTTATGTAGATTTAAGTACTTTCAAATATTACTCTATTTTGTTAATAAAACCCTTTGGTTACTTTTGAAAAATATATTATTAATTATTTTCATTTTTTTGTATTAGTTCATAAGTATTAAGAATACCCTTTGCCAAATGTTTCTACAAAACAATAGCAATAGTTTAGTCAACTTTAAAAAGAGTAAGTGCGGCCCTTTTGGAAGCAATTTAAGCCCGAAACCAATTCGGTAGGTAATGTAGATATCACAGACCCAATAATTTGCCTTTGCCGGCAGAAGGTAGTACTTTCGGTCATAAATTATTCAATTGAAAATATGTTAAAAATTCACTGTGAATTATTTACGCCAGAGACCCTGTACACGAGTATTCGCTCGAACAGGATTGTGTTCCATATACGGATGTACACTCGTTGGGGCCCACTGATATCCTCCGAGGGGTCTGGGGCACATAAATTTAGCCATAAATTTGCCTTCATCGCAAACGGCACAAATACAGAAATCCCGGACACACTCGAACTCTCGAAAACTCGAACCCGGCAAGTTTTGTTGCATAACTTTGTGCGACTTTCTGACTGTTTTACAAAGCACACTGGGATTGGGTTTGGTTTTTATTTATCTGGATAATACAAGTGATTGGTAAGTACCGATTTACGGATACAGTAACAGAAAAACAACTGAATGAGAAATATGAAATATAACTTAAGTTAGTTAGTTATTTTAAAAGATTAGGTGCAGAATCTGGTCAGTTTACTTAAATTAACTGCTGAAACCAAAAAACCTGGCTTATGTAGCAAGCAGCCCTATGTACATATACCTATTATTAAGCACTGCTTGATAAGCAGTTAACGTTATTGTGTATCCCTTAAGTTAAGTCATCCTTTGTGTCCCCCTTACTCCTTTAAGAAACACCATGTAAACCCATCTCTAAGTATGTACGTCTCTCTCTTGCACATACGAGATTGTGAAATAGGCTATGCATTAAGGGGTTATATCCAGTTGCGAGGCCAAAAAAATGAGCTTTTTTGAAAATTATTTTTGGAGAGGCTATTTATTGTATGTATACGTGTTATATATGAAAAGATAGGTAATTTTTTCTAGTTTTAGAACACATTTTTAAAAAAAAATTTTTTTGGACTCCGTCGGTCCTGTAGAGGATCTCCCGAGGGTCCACTTTAAAAAAGGGTTTTGCGGTGAGGAAAATATCTCCGGTCCAAATGATCAGAAATACAAAAAACCAAAAGGATTACGTAAAGAATAGACAAATGCTGGTAATGAGACTTGGGATTTTCAAAATTTTGATTTTTGACAAAATGGCGGCTTCCCAAACATAAAACTTTGTTTTTGGCACAAAAATTTCAACTTTGAAGTGGCTAAAAAAATCGAAATTTTTGTCGGAGCCAAAATTCCAAGTCTCATTACCTGAAAAAAATATCTAAGAAGAGAATGTGAAAGTTTCAAGTCAATCGGTCAAGCCGTCTCCGAGAAATTTTCCTCACCGACTTTGAAGACATAGTTTCGAGAAAAACGCATTTAAAGTTTTGGCTACTAGTTGAACTACATGGGAGACGTCTTTACAAATACACTGATTACTCCAATACTATTTACGGGAATACTTTGAAATTTTCAGATAATCTTCTTAGATATATATACATTCAAAATAGGCAAAAAAAAATTTTTCGATTTTTTCAAAATCGCAACTGGATATAACCCCTTAACAGAGATGATGAAATAAAGATCACTTTTGCAGCGACCACTGAAGAGAAAACACCCTGATTGTATCACTACACCTGGCTTATAGGAATAAAGTTAAAAAATTGTAATTATTGGCAATACAAAATAAACCAGTGTGCAGGAGTGGCTGCTACAGCAGCTATGAGTAGAGTGCTGCTGCGTGGTCAGCAGCAGATGTTGCAGAGTTGATGTCGTGCTGCAAATCAGTCAACATGGCAAACGATTGCCCCTGCCACCAAAGAGCCATAGAGCCAAAGAGCCAAAGAGCCGTGTCGATACGCAGACGACATGCTGCGGCACATGCGGCGTATGATTAATGCGTCTGCTACGCGCTTAATGCTTTTAAATACGCATAAGTGATTGCAATTGCACTCATCCCGTTAATGCAGCTAAAATCGCATTACGTGCAATCGGATCAGCCGACGAGCTCAGCTCCGAAATTGAGTTGGGGCCAAGGCAGAGATGGACCCATTTATTTGATTAAGTGCACAAGACCATTGTGTGGTGCAACTGCAAATCAAATCTTGTGGTTGCCTCGGATTGAGCCGTAGAAGTCACATGAGTAATGAGGCAGTCGAAATTGAAATCAAACAACTTAGCAAATGCAATGAGCAGCGACCTCCAAAAAGACTATTTTCATTTATTTATTTGATCTTCTTTGCCTAGGTCGAAAAACTAATCTCATACTATCCAAAGTATTATAAATATTATTTAAATTAAGTAATTTGATGATCTTAAACGTGTATCCTTGAACAGATATTTTTTTATCTTTAATACTTTTTTCTTGGCTTTTTGGTAAATTTTGGTTAACCTGGCTAACTTGACTTCTCTACCGCCAAAGGCTGAACTGGACTTAATTACAAAATTAAATCAGCAAACAGACTTTGTTTGCCACAACCCCCTCAAATGAACTCTATTTACTGGGCACACAGGATTCTGGCTTTGTGTGGGCTTAACTTATTAGCTAATTAGTTAAATATTTGCGGTCTAATCACTCAGTTAATATTCACTCCTAAATCATCACATAAGTCCGGTATCAAGTGGCTCAGAATACACAGGCCAACTTCCATTTGATTCGCTCAAGCGTCTTTGATTGATGCGCTAATTGAACATTTAGTCGCAAAGGCAAGGCAAATATTGATTTTATTGACACATCTATCAGGCTCATCGGCCAACAACAACTGCAACAACGGGGGACAAAAGTTTGTGTAAAGTTTCCATGTTGTTGTTAAGCTTGTTTCGTTTTATTTATTTATTTTACTCAGCAGTGCCACCGCACTGTTCCTCATTGATGGAAGGGGGGTGGAAAAGGGGGAGGGGGAGGGCTTAGTCCACCTTGCTTTTCCCACGAAATTGCCCCAATATGCGTTCGTGTATGTGTATGTGTTTGCCAAAGCGCTTGGCCATTAAACCAATTTTCGGGCAAACAAAAAGTCGGAAAAGGGAAAGCGGGCGAAAAAAGGCAAGGGACGGCCAAAGGAAAAACCGAATTTTTTGTTACCTCGGATGAGAGGGTATCGGAAAAGTGCGAAACGAATGGGGGATCAACGAATTAAACCTCTTGAGCGACTTCAGAAATTGAAATTTGCAAATGCATTATTTGATTTATTGTCAAATGTTTGTATTTACAATAGATTTTTTTATATATATATATGCATAAAACAGTAGAGATATGTTCTGGTAAATATACTGCTCTGCTTTAAAAACCTTTTAAAATTTAATTTTATTAGTTGAATAAATAGCTATAAATATAAAGTACTGAACAACTGAATTGTTCGTCTTATGAATAACTACACACCCTATATAAAAGTGCACTAAAGGTCCCATAATTTTTTGTTCCACTCAATCCAGTGGGCTATTTTAAATTTAAAAGCAAAAAGTACTTTGTTGGGCTCTTGTAAAGCTCCTTCTACTACAAAGGCTGACCTTTTTTAATTGCTGAAACATTTAGGCAGTTTCACTCCTTTTTCTACGAGAAGTCCTACCAATGAAAACAAAGGAGAAGCGTTGCTAAAATTAGTTAAATTTGAGGAGGGATGAGTAATGAAGGGGCAGGTGTGGGTTTGGGGGAATAGATCCTGTCATGTCCTTAAGCGGCTTTCGGACCTTTGTCCCGTTAATTGCCTTTGATTGCCAACCTAGCGATATCGCAGACAAATAATTCTCAATCGATACTCCCTAGGGACTTTCACTCTTGTTCCATCTTAATTAAGAATTTTTGGAATTGGCTGAAAAGAGGCTCCAGAGGTTCTACTTACAGAATAATTGCCTTAAAAGTTACTCAAATGTGAACAACGAACAGTATTCCTTTTATGTATTTAAAAGATACTATTTTTTTCCAATGTATACCTGTTGGCGCTCGGCAATCCGTCTTCTTTTAGCCATTAAAAAGAATATATCTCCTGCATAATCCCAGTAATGAGATTAGTACCAAAAGCGAACTCGGGTCAATTGCACTGAAATTAAACGCATTGAATCGGCTTAAATTGTTCCAACATTCAAAGCTCCTAAGAGGCTTTGGTTTAGCATACAATGGCAGTTCCAGAACAATAATTTCGCTCAACTCAGATGATTTTTGGGTGGCTGGAGCTTTGCATATCAAGTAGGTATATTCACAACTATGTCGTTCCATTTAAGCTAATAGACTGGCAAAAAGTTTTTCATTTTGTTAAATGCACTTCAACTCAAACCTTCTGGCTGGCCATTTGCAAATGTACTTTCTGGCCATTCCCACTCCATTTTGGGTCGAAATTGTCTGGCTCTCCATGGAATTAATAACATTAAGAGCTCCACCTGGTTTGCCAAGCAAGTGCGACAGCATAATACCAAATGCAAATACGACCGAGGAAGACGGCAAAGGATGCGGCTGGGAGGATCCTGCCGACTTTTGAGTCGGCCATTTTGCAGTCTGTATTAATTTCCAAACTAGTGCACAAAGCGAGAGACAAAGTCTCTGACAAAAACTGTAATTTACGAGACAACAGCCATTACCGAAGTAAACACCCCTTCCGGACGGCTGCTCCAAAAGGACTCAAAGGATGCTGGGGAGTCGTAAAGGAGGGATCTGGGGAGCAGTTGGGCAATGCGGGATGGGGATGACTTCATTGGGAAATTCCTTGATGCTCGCATAAATGCTGCTGGGAAGCGAGAAAGACGTCACTTCCGAGGGATTCCCCCTGCTAACAGGACAGTTGCAGAATTAATTGCATATTCCAGGGCTTTTTCCCTTATCCTGTCTGGTATAAGCAGCGCATATGTGCACACTTTGAGTAATGGCACTGAGTAATCTACACCTCGGTAGATAATACCCAGGTAAGTGTTTTTGCCAAATAACTCTTGCCTGCCTTGCGGACCCTTGAAAACAATAATACCGAACCCACTTTATCATCAGCACCTGAAAAGCAGTCCGTTCTCGATGTGCCGGCTCAAAGGTTAGCCAACTGCCAGGGGATAACCCCTGCTCATCCGGTTAAAAGTTATTTAGTTGGAAAGTCTTGCCCCAAATTGCTCTGCAACTGCAACTGCAACTGCAGTTTCATGTGTGCGGGCTTTGTGTTTGAATTGTTGATCAAAAAGGCAAACTCGGAGCATGTTTTTATTATATTTCATTCCCAACGATGCGATTTCGTAGCAACTTTTGCTTAGAAAGTGCAGAAAACGAAACATTCGCAAATAACTTTGCAGTCTAGTTGGACAAGTTTTTCCTTTCTGCAAAACTTTTCGGTGTCCTGCAGCGTCTACAATCTCCTGAAGAGCTTCTGCAAGGATAATGTATAACTGCAGTCGAGGGAGCACTGGATGGTTGGGGCGAGCTCAGCAGTTTTGCATTTAGTGCTATAATGAGATTAAAAGGAAATGGAGCTAAACTTAAACTTAATTGCATAAAACTAATTAGGCTTCAAAATACACAGAAATTTCCGGATGACCTCGAATTACCCTAGTACCCTTAGTAAAATTCAATCTGAATCTTGTATTCATATGCATTCACATATAATTTACAGGACATTTCTGCTAATAGTCTTATTATTATTTTTTTGATTTAGCAACATTACTTAAATTAAATAAGTGAGGAAAGGGTTTTGATCTGGCGGCTAAGCAAAATTTGATTTTTCTACAGATAAACAACAATCCATTGAATAACCTAGATATAACGTTGAAAATGTTCATTTGTGGGCCTTTTCATTCCATCAATATTTTTGCAACCTTAAGCAAATAGAAACGAGGAATTTTCTGATTAAAGTTTACAAAAGAATTTGAGGTTGAACGGGAACCAATCTGAACTCGAAATGGGAGCAGAGCTTCTGTCAATTTCAGTTGGATTTGTGCAAAGTTCTCGGAATTGAAATTCCTTGCAGCAATTAGAATTTCAGCAATGATTTCTCATGAAAATTTCCGACAAGGGGCTCCTGCAACTGGCAACTGGCAACCATCTCACCATCTTACCATCTCACCAAGTTAATGGGGCAGATGGAGAGTCCAACATCCGGTCCACTCACTCAATATTTCCGACCACCCACGTACCTAATTTCGGTCGTAATTTCTTATGTACTGACCCCCGAAAACCTCCGTGTAAGCTGTCCAAGATTAATGACTTTTCCCCACCCGCCGACGACGGCAGCTGCCAGTGCTGATCTCTCTCTCTCTGTATGTGTGTGTGTGTGTATGTATTTAATAATTAATGCATAAATAATGATTTACACAAACAGCGGTCAGCCGCTGAGTGGACCACAAACCCGGAAAAAATGGAGGAAAGGAAAGGAAAGCCAGAAAAAGTTGAGGAGAAAGTAACAATAACTAACCTGATTTTGCTGATGTTGCTGATGCTGCTGCTGTTGCTGTTGCAATGTTGCTGCTGTGTTGCTGTTACTGCTGTTGCTGCTGCTGCTGCTGCGACTTCCGCTGCTCCTCCCACACTCTCGCTTTCTCACTCACCCAACATCAACAACAACTGGGAACAGTTAATCCATCATCATTATGATTTTCTTACTTTGTTCTCCGCTCTTAACTTTTCGAAGATGGAAACAATTTTTTTTTTCAGTTTATATTCGGTCGGGTGGTGTTGGGGCTTTCTTATTTCTTATCGGGGAGCTGCTTTCGCTGACTTTCTACTCATGTTGACGGCAACATAATATCGCTTAATTGTGTTCTATTCTGGAGCGCTGGCTCTGTTTTTATTTTATGTACATGTGCTCGTGGCACTTTTGAAGAGTCATTCACGGTCCTGGCAATATCTATTGTTTTTTTTAATCCCGCTGAGCTCGACTGCTGCAAAATTCTTGTAATTAGCTGCGGAGACAACAATAAGTACGACGACAACAACCACAACAACAAAAACAACAAGTGGCCATTCAGGCTTGTTTTTATTGCCTAATGCAAATTTAATTGCGGTTTATATTCCAACGGCCCGGCCAGAAGGGAAAATGTTCTGTACTTCCCAATGGATTTTTGTGGTAACGTTTTGAGACCTTATCATGTTTCTGTTGCCCCAATTTGCCACGCCCCAGCACGCACACACAAACGCCCACACGCTGTGCTAGACTATGCTCATTTGCTTCGGCTAAAACCCACACCTCCCTCTTCCTTCCATTTTCCCCTCCAGTTCGCTTTCCTTCTGGTGGAAAACTTTGAGCTTATTTCTGGTATTGCCGCTGTTGGTGTTAGATTTAATGAGCTTCCTCCTGATTGTGGCTAAAATGCGAAAACCATGCAGCTTCCGACTTGGCAATCTGAGGGAACCAACAGCACCGGCATTACATTAAATGCAGCAAATTTCACGATACTCCAAGGAGGTGTTGTAAATAAGGATTGGCCAAATTGCCAAATTAATTAAATTATTTATTCATCGGATTTACGACAATCAGCAGTCTTAGGGAAGTTTTGTACTTGTGTAAAGTCTTACGGCATCGATTAAGTTTTGTATAAACAAATTTACACTTTCACATGACTTTTAAAATGGGTATAATTTGTTGTTGATTGGCGCCAAGCAATAAGAAGAATGTTTATCACAATATTTTAAGATTCAAAGTAAGAGTCTTTAATTTCAGAATTACTCAGAACTCTGCAGCTTCCCGCAGAAAAAAGTTGTTTACTCTTGTTCACCTTATCATAAATCTTAACGATTTGTAAATAGCATAAAATTCCGTATCAAAATTAAAATTCACCTTTTTACTTTATACAATCTATAAAACCCCATATCTATAAAAGAGAATTATTAATTCAATTAAAAACTTATTAAGCACTGTAAATAGACCTGAAAATAACAAAGCTCAAAAAGAGTTCAACCAAAATAAACGTACTGTCTGTTAATCTAACCAATAAAAACGACTTTCGACGCCTCATTGGGCAGAAACTCTTGGCTCGACTCTTGGCACCCAATAACAATCAGTAGGCCGAGTCCCTGGAAGACTTTCTCTTCGGCTTGGGCGCAACTCAAGTGCAACAGTGCGTATGCGTTATCCAAAGTTTGAACAACAATTGCCGCCCTGGTAATTGCGGAGAGGCAGACAGATACGAGAGCTGATGGCGGGCAGCAGCTGTTATCACGTCCTAATGCTAATGCGATTTTCATTGCTGGTGCTGTATCGGCGGCATTATCGTATCCCCCTGCCCCGAGCAAAGTTCCCCTCTCTCCCCCTTTCTTATTTCGCTCTTCCGAAACCAAAGCCCGACTGCAGGGCGAAATTCATAGCATACTTTTGGCAGCTGGCTGACGCTAACGATGCCTTTGGCCGTCTTCAGATGCTGCTGCTGCCGATGATGATGGCGACGGCGACGGCTATGGCGATGGCTTATGTAACCAGTGCTGCATAAATCCGTGCACACACACAGCAACTCGGGCCGAGGCCCACGGACAAACTTGTGTATGTTTTCGGGCTGTTCCTCAACTATTCAAACGACACTTCTTGCTGCTTCTCCCCCAGACATTCCATCTCCCTCTCCGTTTGTGTGTGTCTGTGTGCTCTTCTATGTGTGTGTGTATGTGGGGCAGTTGTGTCTGCAGCGGTGGTAATTCTTTTGGCTTTGGCGCACTCACGCTGCGTGCTTTTAGCACTAACAAGCAGAAGCAGTGGCCAAAGAACTGGCACCGAAGAATTGGACGTTTGTCGCTGTCTGACTTCAAGTGGGCAAGGGGGGGACGAAGTGGGCGGTGGGGGAGGCTCTGCGACCCACACAGACGCCCTGGCACTGACACTAGCACGGGCACACACACTCACACTGGTTCACTTCACTACCACACACGTTCCATTAGACCTGGCCCGGTTCGGTTGGCTCTGGCTTTGGTTTTGGCTTTTGGCAGCGAACTGGCTTGCGAATCTGCTGGCGGATGCTGCTCTCGGTGCTGTTCATCTCCCGTCGATGGACCATTTTTGACTGGCTTCCAGTCGCAGCCGTTGGCTGCCGCAGAGATCCCTAACAGTGGCTGCTCTCCGGCTGTTGTTGCTCCTTCTTATACGAATCTTTGCGGAAGAGCGAGTCGGATGGCGAAAGCAGTTCTCTGTTGCACTTCACAGGCTCTCAGCGAGTCAAAGATAACGCACGTGAGGCGCCAGGGTTGCCAGATGGTTGGGGGCTGAAGGACTCAGGTGGAAATGGCGAATGTTTTTTTTGATTTTGACTCGTAAAATGTTTGAGACATTGTACACATATAAGAAATTTATGGAAAGATGTTTAAATAATTATCAAGAGGTATAATTAAATATATTCTCTTTTCGTAATTATATTTATTTATTTCTTGGTTGATCTAACAATGGATAAATGTGTTATTTTAAAAATCAACAGCGAAAACGTTCTTTTTAAAAATATTATTTTATATTTGGTTATTGGATGATTAGTTTTTGTGTTTTGTAATAAACGGGTAAAACAAAACAAACTTATATAATTTGTAGTAAGGTGGCAACGTGATAAAATGTTTTTACAAAATCTCTTATACTCTTATACGTTGTGTCACTAACGTCTCTCCTACCTAATTAACTCTCCTCGCGCATGCGCGTTCGAATGCAAAACAACTTCGAATTTCGAGCAGAAGGACAACAAAGGAACGCCACCAAAGGACGGACACACTCACATACTTATATAGAGCACCACAAGACCAAAACTCGTTTAGTTGCCGCGTTGACAACTTTGTGGCAGGCAGCAAACAAACAGACCTCACTCCGGTCCTAAATGTTGACAGGGGGTGATAAAGGAGTGATAAAGGAGTGAATAGGGGGCGGGGCAAGGGACTGCAGTTGCAGTGCGAGAAGGCAAATGCAGCGTCTTTGTCGAGAAGTTGGCCTGAGCATTGACCTGCTTAGACAGCTGAGGGATTTATAACTCCTCTATGACTTCTCTGCACGGGAGTGGGGGTAACGGCATTAAATGGCAAATAAATCTAAAGTTAAACTTTTGACACTGTCTCGGCAAAGGAGCCACGAAGGCATTTCCTTCCGCCTGCCTCGACTTCCGGTTGGAATCTGTCTGCCCTGTCAGCGGCCAACAAAAGGAGTGACACCCGCACACAAATGCACAGAGGGAAATACTTTTAGTTTACTATGTAAACATTTGTTAACTATTAGGCAAGGTCCGAAATTTGCGAAAATTTGGGTAATTTTGTTGTTTAAGTTAAATCATAATGTATTAGTACATGCTAATACCGTATATGAATTTCTTGAACCTCAATACAAGATTGTTTACCGATCATAAATTAGAGATCACAATCGTTAATTCTATACTTAATTCTCGGGATTGTCTAAAATTGTCAAAGTTAAATAAAACTACTTTTTTTAATCACCTTTTTAAGGGCACAGATATAAATTTATAATACTATTGGTAACCAATTCTGCCAACGTTCAAAATATTTCCAGCTTAGTTTATTTATCAAACTCAATCCTGAATTTTTTGGACAGTGTGTCTTTCATATGTTATGAATGGATACAATTTATGGGCGCCCAGCACCTCTTTTCCGAAATCTTATAAAACTCGGGAATAAATAATAATAATTCTTGAGCTTTTCTGTGCCGGTCTGTTGTTGTTCGCATTTCCCACATTTCTTTGCCGTTCTTATGACAATGTCAACATTTCTTTTGCTTCTCTAATGGCCTCACAAAAGGACACACGGACCACTCACACACACCACACACACACGAACCGCGGCACACACGCACCTATATGTGTTTTCAATCGGTTGTTGTTTTCTCATGTTGGTTATGCATAGCCATAAATATTGGTAAAAGCTTCTCTAGGTCGAGGGCCACGGCAGTCCGAAAATAAAGAGCATAATTTCTGATCCTGACACATTCGCACACAGATGGGAGGACGAAAAAGGACCCCGTTCGCAGTAACCGATTGTTGTTTTCGCCATTTTCTGTTTGTCATTTAACAGATTTTTCTGTCCTTGCTGGGTATTGATTTCTAATTTTTCCTTCGTAGGCTTAGTGAAAAATCTTTGCTCCACACGAGGCTGTCGCTGCTTGTTTGTCAGTGTGAATGTGAGTGTGGGTGAAAGCGAATTTTTATTATGTGTGCGTGTGTGTCGCATTGATTTCGTAATTTATGGGCGATTTGATGGATTGCGCATATAACTTTTACGTTTATTTTTGAGTTTTTATTGTTTTACAACTTGAGGTTGTTTTGTTTGGGTTCGTGGCTTGTCACATTTCGGTTTTTGCCCATCAAGGAGTTCCGCATGGTCTTTTGTTAGCCGTAATGGAAGTCATTTAACTTGGCTCAAATGTGGCACTTACGGTGTGGAAACCAAAGGTGTTGCCTATGTTATTGGACATATCATGAGTTATGGCAAGCACTTAAATATTCCTAAATATTTTCCAAATTGGGTACCAGTAAACATAAAAATAAATATTTATACTTGTCAAATGACAAACGTCAACAAAATTAAATAAAAATAGGGAACTCCTTTTGTTTTGCAGATAACAAAGGGAATTTTCAAAAGCAGACTAATTCGAATCAGTTGTAATTGTAATTAAGTATGTGTCACTGTCCATTTAAAACTTACTCAATAATTAATGGTAAAGTGCTGTAGGGCTTATGATGGCCGCGGTTAGCTAATTAAGCCAAACGCATCTGCGTAATTAAATTTTCAGCCAGAAACCCATAAAAATAAATCGACCAAAAAAAGGGGTAAAAGGGGGAAATATCAAGCAGGACTTGGCTATCATGGATGAGTTTGGGCCAATTAAACGTTAAATCAATATTGTTAAATCCCCGAACACACAAAAAAGAGCCACAGAGTCGAACATTCACGTATTAATTGGCGTTCGTGAGTCGCCTGCATTTAAATAATCCATGAGCTGCCACATCTGTGTCTGAGTTCCCTTCTATGTATTTGTGTTTTAAGCCAACTGAGCCCCGTAAGCCAACTGAAAGTCCAGCCAATTCTGCACACATTTCCCCATTTACATACCGGTTCATAGTTACGATTGTGCTCCTGGAATTGTAATCGTATTAAGGAGTGCTTTGCGATCCTGGCACGTCAAACACAGGTTATTCTGCTAAAAACTAATTTGAAATAACTCGATTTGTTTTGCCATGTATGCAATTTTAACCGTTTGCTGGTGCCTTTATGTCCTTGCAGAAAATATATTTTTTTTTTTTGAATTACGTAACATAGTGAATGTAAAATTTCTACCCTACAAAGTTATAAAAGGTTATACTGAATTTTTTTTTTAATTCTTTGTAAGAGATACTTTTTTTAAGATTAAAAGTAACAAGAATATTTTATTTGAAACAGTGAAAATATGGGTCGGATTAAAAGTTTATAATTTAAAGGTTAGCTTTTTGACAATAGATGATAATTTGATGATGGACAAAGACACAAATATTTTTGTGTGATTCTGAATTACAAAATAAAAGCGGCAAGTTGTCAAAATGGAATTTTACTTCAATCCAAGCTGTAAAAATAATAATGGGCGTTGTGAAATTCGAATCGAAAACCGCTATTGGCAATTTTAGGCCTTGAATGAATATTATTGTAATATACAATATACACCCCGAAAAACAAAAAAAAAATGTTTAAAATCTATTTATTTAAGCCAACGGAATAACAACACATTTTAAATCGCATCTAAACCGGTTTCTGTTGTAAAAATATATGAATCTTTAAACTTGTATAAAATTATTTAAATATAAAATCAAAGGTGTTTATGGTATTCATTACTAAATTGAAATGAAATGGCTTAGCAGCCTTAGAATGCCTCTAGAAACTTCTAGAGTACGGGTTTAAAGATAAATATTAAAAGCATTTGTTGGTTGGCTTTGATGTAAAAACTCGTGTTTGCAACAAGGAATCTCAATTTACGTCTTCTGTTATCCCGGTTTTCGGGATATCCTGTTCGATTTAGCTTCCTGCGCCCATCGAACCTCGGTGCTTTTGGACTGGGGGAGGAAAAGTGAACAAAGACCAACTATCCATCAGGGCCAGCTTACACAGCACACATTTCCATGCAAATGGGTGTGTGTGTGTGTGTGTGTGTGTGTGAGTGTTTTATTTTGGGTCAGCGGCTCGGGCGGGAAGGCTCGATGGCAGCGGTTGGGTGCTGAAGGCCCTTTCACGGCTTCTGCTCGGCACTTAAGGCCAACAAATACAAACAGGCATAATAAAATAATCGATGCTTTTAAAATTTGCATAAGTTCGGATACCACAGATGCCGCAGACGCGCAGAGGAGTCACAGGAGCTTCCCAATCCCAATCCCAATACAAATCCCACTTCCACCTCCCCCACTTCCCTCACCCCCTCCTCCTCCACATTGCGCATACGCCGCGTGGACAGGGCCAGGGCCAAAACCTGCGGCCCAGAGGTGGCCGGCAAGTTCGTGGGCGTTCGATTTAATTGTGGGAACGCGGCGTCTGCCAAGCACCCATCAAATGGACGGACGTGGCTAAAAAGTTGAATTGTTAAGCGATTCGAGGCGGGTTTTAAGGTCCAAGACCTATATATTTTCATTAACATGTGTGGGTCGGAGCGAAAGTTTCAGGGCTCCGACTGGACGTGGCCTTGGAGCAGCCGTGGGAACTCTGTCCCCAAACGTCCACGTCCTTATGTACAGCCAGCCAGCCAGCCTAACTGCCTAGACGACCGAAGGAGCAAACATTGACGGGCAGAGCCGCTAACCTTCCAGATTTCACATTTCATTATCGTCAACGGCGCCCTGCTGGCAGGTTAACTTTGTCCTGGCCTTTCGAACTCTTGTGATATCCTAAATTACTCCGGTTTAGCCTCTGCGAGTGAAATGTTTGCCTAGAAGTGCACCAAGTTGCACTCAGCCAAGCATCTGCTACAAGATTTTAATTTTGGTATTTTGAAAGTTCATCAGCAAGGTAAAAGTGTGCTCTTAAAATAATATAGTTAACA